CTCATTAGTCAGATAGAAAAAGAAACTGTAGAGAGGGGCAATTTGCTAAATATATGCACCATATAACATATTCATTATAATTTTTTACTGTTCTTCAATGTTTAATTTGTTTTAATAAATTCATCAAGTTATGACAGACACCATTTAAATGTTTATATTCCAAAAAGACTAATTGAAGTAGAAATATTATTTTAAAAACTTTTAATTTCAGCAGTTTTATAGCCTACAAATCAGTCAATTTTAACCTTCAACATTATAGTAATGTAGTGTCAACTGACACTCATGTATATTTTACAGCATTACTTGAGAATTTTTTTTCCTTGAGAAAATTTGGGATGTACTGTACCTGATTTATCCAAAATAATCGATACTGAATCGAATCGCAAGTTTGTGAATGAAAATCGAATCGAATCGTGAAATTTGCGTCAAATCTCAGCCCTATTAGACACCATATTGAATTTTACATGGAGGAAAACAAGGCTGTGAAGGATGTAATTTTTGTAACCATGTAATTTTCACAACTCATTCCTGTTTTAAGGAGTTTTGTCTACTGAAAGTTTTTTTGTTTTTTTTTGTTTTTTTTCAGAAAAATGTTTCATCAGGTGAACAATCGATATGTTGTTAAACAACAGTACAATCCATTGAACGCACTGTACTTCTAATCGCTCGCAGTAGGGATTGTAACGGTATGAAAATTTCTTATCACGATTATAGTGACCAAAATTATCACGGTTATCAGTATTATCACAGTATTGTTCACATGTGCTGGAGATGTTCAAAAACTACCGACACAAATCCCTTCAAGTTTTATATTTAAAAATCAACAAACAACTAATAAAATGACTTTTGTTTGCATAATCACTAAAACAATAACATTACCAATGATGTTCGGATTTTAAATGACAACTTGACTGACAACAGTTTAATAGCATGTTGAAATATCTAATGTAACTGTTCAAATAAAGCTTTGAAAAAGTTTAATAAAAAGGTAAACCTCACATTTCAGCCTTTAACTAAAGAAAAGATATGTCAAAATGATAATTGATTAAAAAATGATTACATGTATTTTATCTGCTCCATAAATAATTCTAGATAACTTATCTGAATTGTTTAAATGTGTAGAATCCACATAAGCTTGTTTTTCATCAACCGATCAAAATTTACAGCAGGGCATGCAAATTCGGTCCATTTTTGGCCAGACAGAAACTGCACACAGACTAAATGTAAATATAAGTCTCTGTAAATCTACTCTATGACAGCAGGTGGCGCTGATGGAAAAGCTGAATTAGAGCTGTTTCCCGTAACCTCCGTGGACAAAGCAGTATTGCGATTAAGAACACTTTCTTTAGGTATTACATGGAGCGAAGACGAAAACAAAATGCCATCGAATCGTTTCTGAAGACAGTCAGAACCTTCAGAGGTACATTCATAGAATTAATTAATTCACATTCATTTGTATAATTCCCTTAGCACTCTTTTAAAACCTCCCAGCTTTTCTGCCCTGCTTTCACTCAAAACGAAACCACGCTGCATGCTGTGCGCACGTGACACTGTTACTTAAAACTGTGCTTTATGCTGGACAGTATTTATTTATAAAATAGTTGTTCAAATCTTGGTAATCTAATACGGTTTTAATGATAATTAAAAGATGAAAACTGGAAATTTTATCATGATTTATCGTCAAACTTGTTACATCCCTAGCTCACAGCCTGGTTTTCATTCCTCTCAAGAATTAAATATGATACTACCTTGACATAGGTCCTTTCAGATTGATTAGATGTAATGTCAAGGGAAGTAATAATGAATGTGATAAAGTAGTAGTGAAGGGCTCGAAAACTGTTTTTTTTTTTTCATTTAACATTTTCTAAATTTGCACTGGCCCCAGCACCAAACAAAAGAAAAGAAAAACAAGCTGGAAATTTAAGCTATGTTACGCCATAAATCCATAAACTGATGACATACGATTCAAAAACTTACTGACAAGTTTGTAGTTTTTAACAATCTTACTGATGCTTTCAAGAGCATAATGAGTCATGAATATCATTTTTAAAAAATAATAATAAAATGCTTTTTTTTGTGCTGTATTTTATGTTTAAAGGGCATAAAAATTAATGTAGAGGATAAAATGGCAATGCAGCACTAGCCTGGAAGAGGACAAAAGGCCACCCTTATAAAACCTCAAAAAGCTTTACAATGGCCAGGAAACTGGTTTAATGGTTAAATTAGTCCATGTAACAATTAAAAATGTTGGTTAAGAGCCAAATTTAGAACAAACTTCTAACGTCTAGAATCTAGACTTCTAACGTCAGATCTCTCATTCTTTACCTTAAATAAAAACATTGTTACCAAAAAAAACACATAGAAAATGAATGCATTCTCTCACTTTTGGAAATATTCACCTGCAACAATTACTGGTCAATGGCAGCTCTACTAAAATGGACATTCAGAGTTAAACTAGGTGGATGCATGGTAAAGGATTTTGAACCAGGCAATTGATTTCAGACAATCTCACTGGAAATGATTCTGAGTATCATAAAAGACCCGTTCCAGGCCTGATTTATGGAGTCGACGAGAATATGAAGATTGACACATTTCATTTTCTTCCACCGTGGCCATCCTGAACGCCACCAAAAAGAAAATATGCAGGCTGCATATGTTTTCATTAGCCAGGATGGATTAATGCACGGGCTTATACAGCTTCAATATACTGGCAGGAGGGAGATTGTTGACTAGCAGTGTCTATTCCCCGCTTCGGTCGGACAAGAGCTTACCGAATAATAATTCAAATGACTTTTCTGAGAACATTCCGCCGAAATAAAACCCATCCCACCAGCTGTCCAACTGCCTGGCAGACTCACTATGATGGCCAGCCTTGACGAGATGGCATGTAGATGACGGGGGGAAAAAATCTGCCAAACTGAACAATAATTTGACATGCTGAGATGAGCCTTTCTTAATTTTACATCATCCATCTATGACATATCATAATGCCCAACGTTCAGGTGTGACACAAAACTCAGAAACAGCACGGCACAAAACACATTTCCTACAAACCATCTTCAACTAGCACAAAGAACGTTCATTCCCAGAAGCACAAGGAAATTTATGCAGACTACATGCCAGCACTAAATGCACAAAGCCTGTCTCTTCTCCACTTACCAGTGATCAACCGAACACAACCGCTCCCCAGTTTCAATTAAAATGCCCAATTAAACCCAAGCTGGGCAAACTAATGTTGTTAAGTAATCTGAGTTCACAAAGCTGCCCGATTTATTACTGCTCCCTATATCCTGCGCACATTTTAATTTCTCCAGTTATAGCAGCAATTAAACCCGCTGCTGCATTGTTTACCATCACAGGAACTCTCATTTGAATCTCGGATATTAATGGAGTGAAGATGACAAACAGGCAGCTATTACCTTAACAGCCACCACACCGTTCTGCTGATGAATGAAATATTTATACCACTTCATATCTAGAGTGTTATTTTATACATAACCTCAATGAAATAACCGGTGAACTTATGCTTAACAAAACCTTGATGGAAAAACAGAGCACTGTAGATCTTTTAAACTGCTTTATCTTCACTAAAGTAAACAGAAATAACAGAAATATAAATAAATATTCAGGGTTAGTAAGATGTTTTTAATGTTTTTGAAAGAAGTTTCCTGCATGTGCTCACCAATTGTGAATTTATTTGATATAAAAAAAAAGAAAAAAAAAAAACTGTTTTTCTTTTTTTATGAAATTTATTCCTGTGATGGCAAAGCTGAATTCCCAGCAGTCATCACTCCAGTCTTCAGTGTCACATGATCCTTCAGAAATCATTCTAATATACTGATTTGCTGCTCATGAAGCATTTCTTCTTAAGTGTTATCAATGTTGTGAAAACCACGTTTTTCAGAATTCTTTGGTGAAAATGTAAAGTTTAAGAGTACAGCATTCATTTTTAATCTTTTATAACATTATAAATGGTTTACTGTCACTTTTGAGCAGCTTAATGCATTCTTGCTAAATAAAAGTATTTCTATCAAAAAAAACTTAATAAATGTCCTGACCCCATATCTGTTTGTATATATTGTAACACATATCTTCAATAGCATTTCCAGTACAGTACTTAACTATTTTCAAAAGATTAAAGCCTGTTTGATCCTGTATATATTTTTTTTATATTTGTGCTTGTGCTACTGAACAAAAGACAACAAGGAAGCAGCAAAGCTCATGCTCCACATCAAGCATGAAATGCCATCAGTGTGCTGTCTGCTGGGAATATCCTGACACACATTACATTAACATGCATTATAAATATGATGCAAGGGGAGAAACTCAATGGTAGGAATACAAACACAAGCATCATTTTTCAAAGGATAATAGCCTATCGCAGGGAAGCACATTTTGCTGCCATTTGGCAGAGTTGGGGGGGGGGAAGAAATCAAGACGCCTCCACGGTGGGTTACAGCAATCTTGGCAGAAGCTAACAGAAAAGCTGCTTTTGATTTCCTGACCAACAATCCTCCCTGTGACCTCCTCCATCTCCTAGCCGCCTTTTAATCTCCGTCTGAGGGTGGAAATGACCCATGACTTCTCAGTGTGTGCCATCAAGCACTTTAAGTTAAGCCTCTCCAAACTATCATCTCTTACGCCCACTCTTCACACCTTAAAAAAAGCAATCTCATGACTGCTATAACCTTTCGGTCGCGTTACCTTTCTAGTCATCCAAGACCACCTTAACACAGTTCCCCCATCAACTCTAACTGAGAGCTACAAACTGTGTCTGTAGCTTACAATAACCCCCCTATGAACCCTTCGAAAATAGGAAACCTTTGAGTTTTACTGAAGAAATACATGTTAAGTGTGTGGGGCGTTTTTTTTTTTTTTTTGAACTCTGAAACCATTCCCAATCAAAACCAAAAGCAAAATCCCTCCTAATAATGCCTTCCTTTAAAGTTTACAACATTCATCTCACCATGAAGATGGTGAGCTCCAATTTTGTTACTTACCGCAAGTGCTTTGGACAGTCTTGTTCGGAAGTCATTAAGGACAATCGTGACAATTTCGTGGTGGGGAATGTAAGCATTTCCAGCCAGCAAGTAGACTTTCCTTGTGCGCACTAAATCCAGGGCATCCTGTAACTGGCCAAAACAAAATAATTAATGGATCTGTTTAAGTACAACCTGAATCGCACTTTAAGAATACTTACGTCTGACAATAAGCCAAGCGCAGAATAAAATGGGAGATGTGGTCTTTTCTTCGTTTCTCATATTCAGATATTCCTCCCTGAACCTTTTGGTCACCCTGGGTTATTAGAGCAGATTGGGGGAAAAAAAAGAAATATAAAATAAATGGAGTTTACTCATTTAAAGAGTTCAAAAAGCATAAAGAAAACATAACATTAATAACTTTTTAATGAATTATGAGCAAAATATTGTAAAATGAAAATACCTACCGTCCTCTTCATTACAGACAAATTCTTTTTGAAGATTCTGAAAATGTTTCTTTTAACAAAATGTATGCAATGAATGTGCAACACAACAAATAAGGTGTATATGAAGAATGTGTTGTCCTCACCAGTTCTGCCCTGTGTGGGAAGTTCAGACTTGAAATTTCAGCGTCCAATTTCTTGGTGTATCGTTCTGAATTTTTCACACAGCTCACCCCAACGTTTTCGACAGTCTTGAGTACTTGGAAAAGCAGATAGTAATTATATATACAAATATATTATTTATTAGCATATTAAAATAATCCTCACTTGAAGGCTCTTTACACCTGAACCATGCAGATGACTCACATTTCAATCTCTCCACTGCGAAGCTTTCAAACTCAGAGAGAGAGATGTTCTCCAGAGGAGGCTGTCCATAAAACTGAAGACATTGATCATACAGATCATTCTGAAAGTTGCCGATCAGCTTCTTTCTTCTGCCTAAAAACTGCATTGCAAATCTAGACACCGAGTTTGAACAACGAGTTTACTAAAACTGGATAATGTGATGTCTTTTGATCCATATAAAACCATCGACAAACCAGCAGCGATTATAATGAGTCTAAATAGCTGACGATCAATAAATACACACAGACAACACAGTACAGCTCTCATGAGCGCTGATAAACAGTAACTATAATTAGTCAACTTGAATGATGCTAGGTTAAATAGCTAACATAGTTCATAGTTTAAGTAGAATCATTTGATTTCTGACACCAATCCTCGAACGCATTTATCATTAAATACATATATTACAATAATATTAGGTGTATTAACTATATATTTATTACGTGTTACTGTCATCTAATAGTAAAACTCACATCTCACAACAATCGTTGCCTGTCTTTTCCCGGAGCCTAAATCCCGCCAACGAGCTGACGTTCCAAACAAAGCGCGGGTTTATGACGCCACTCTGAAATTCACCAATCGTGTTGCACGAAGGCTGTTTCCGGGGGCTTGTTCTGTGCTCTGCTCTCTGTTGGTGAATAAAAGTCTGAACACTTCATTTCAAAGAACCGGTTCAAACAACCAGTTCAACTGTTCTTGTAGGCTACATCGAGAAGTATTACTTTTTCATGTGGTTCCTGACGGTCCAAAAAGCTCTATTTAAGCACATATTGTTGCGTTGTATGTTTTTTAAAACTTAGGCTGAAAAATGTGTGTGTGTGTGTGTGTGTGTGTGTGTGTGTGTGTGTGTGTGTGTATGTGTATGTGTATGTGTATGTGTATGTGTGTACTGGTTTATATATCCTTGTGGGGACTTAAACCTGACTACACACAGACTCGTGGTCTAAATTGTGGTCCCCACGGGTACAAAAGCTTGTAAATCATACAGAATTAAGTTTTTTGAAAATCTAAAAATGCAGAAGGTTTCCTGTGAGGGGTAGGTTTAGGTGTAGGGTTGGTGTAGGGCAATAGAATATACGGTCTGTACAGTAGAAATCAATAAATACACACAGACAACACAGTACCGCTCTCATGAGCGCTGATAAACAGTAACTATAATTAGTCAACTTGAATGATGCTAGGTTAACTAGCTAACATAGTTCATAGTTTAAGTAGAATCATTTGATTTCTGACACCAATCCTCGAACGCATTTATCATTAAATAAATATATTACAATAATATTAGGTGTATTAACTATATATTTATTACGTGTTACTGTCATCTAATAGTAAAACTCACATCTCACAACAATCGTTGCCTGTCTTTTCCCGGAGCCTAAATCCCGCCAACGAGCTGACGTTCCAAACAAAGCGCGGGTTTATGACGCCACTCTGAAATTCACCAATCGTGTTGCACGAAGGCTGTTTCCGGGGGCTTGTTCTGTGCGCTTCTTCTTCTTCTTCTGATGTTTATTGGCGGTTTTGGCAAACCAACTTAAAGGTGCATTACCGCCACCTACTGATCTGGAGTGTGGAGTGAACAGATTTGGTAGAGAGAAGGATATTATAAAAAAAAAATAAAAATAAAAAATTATGATTTATATATATATATATATATATATATAAACCTACACTATTACAATTAAACCATTCCCAATCAAAACCAAAAGCAAAATCCCTCCTAATAATGCCTTCCTTTAAAGTTTACAACATTCATCTCACCATGAAGATGGTGAGCTCCAATTTTGTTACTTACCGCAAGTGCTTTGGACAGTCTTGTTCGGAAGTCATTAAGGACAATCGTGACAATTTCGTGGTGGGGAATGTAAGCATTTCCAGCCAGCAAGTAGACTTTCCTTGTGCGCACTAAATCCAGGGCATCCTGGAATGGCACCTTTGACAAAGAAAAATAAGAAGGTATATACATTAATCCTTTTTAAAACTACTGCACAAGCATAACGTTAAAGTGTTACAGTTTATGCTTATTTTAAAAGATTTAGAGGCAGGTCAATAAATAAAAAATAAAAATCTAATTCTAGTTTAGACAAACACTTACAAGTCACAGATCATGCATTATAAACTTTAACTTGGTTTAAATGAATTTAATGATTTTGAAATGAACCATTCTAGTATGCCATATTCTACAAAGTTACAGATTTTTCAGAACTCTATCATTTTTATAATGTTAGAATGAACTTACTTTGTAGACATCATGTTCTTCCACTTTGGTTCCACTTAATCCATAACTGGAGGCAATGAGCTTGTCTTTTAGGTTTTTCTTCTCCTCTGCACTTACCTGTAAAATGAAAGGGGAAAATGCACAGTTGACATTTTTGTAGGTCGAACTACAAGAGATAAAACAGGGACAACATTCAGAGAGCAACTTGAAAGAAAAACAGCAGATTAAATTATCATGTGAAAAGGTTATGACAATTACTATTTAGCATTTATTCAGTGGCATAAAGGCATTAGCATTTATTTACAGCTAGAAAACACAAGCATTCAGGCATAGCTCTGAACTCATATTAGGAATGTTAAGAGAGTGGAACTGAAAGACATGAACTAAAAGATGAACCATGTTTGAAGTGATGAACAGCTGCCCCCTACAGGACTGTACATGAAAACACACTGCATCACAGAGCTAAAACATCAATGATCATGATGGGATCTTTCGAATAAGACATAAAAAGTACAATGAAGGTTTTAGCAGGGGCATGCAATGAGCAATTTCCATGTTTCAGTTAGAAAGCATTAGACAAAGTGATTAGTCAGCAATATATTGGGAAGCTGGATGAGATATTTGAATCTAATTAGGACAGAAAACCACCTGAAAAAGTTAGTTATTAGTTATTTTTAAAATAATTAAATACAGAGATTTTTCTGATATCATCAAAAGAAAGGGAATTGGGGGATGTTGCAACAATTCAATTCATATTTAAAACAGTCTCACCGTCTCATACTTCAAATTATTTTTATGCAAAAAGTCAGTCTTGTGCTTTGAATGAAGGCAGTTAAACCGGTAGCGGAAAAGATCCATTTCCTGTTGGATAAACCATCGCCTAAGGTCCTCTCTAAAATGAAATAAAAGCATATGGTTTCATTTATACCTTACATTTCAAAAATTTGCCAATAAATGAGAGATTATGACTTTGGAGCAAAACCCTGCATGTAGGTCTGTAAACTGTTCAGCTTCAATTTAGATTATAAATGTTACATAAATGCACATTCATAGCTTAAGTTTCAGTACGCTTATAAAACAGATTAGTATCATTCACTAAAAAAAGATAACTGGCCAAAACAAAATAATTAATGGATCTGTTTAAGTACAACCTGAATCGCACTTTAAGAATACTTACGTCTGACAATAAGCCAAGCGCAGAATAAAATGGGAGATGTGGTCTTTTCTTCGTTTCTCATATTCAGATATTCCTCCCTGAACCTTTTGGTCACCCTGGGTTATTAGAGCAGATTGGGGGAAAAAAAAGAAATATAAAATAAATGGAGTTTACTCATTTAAAGAGTTCAAAAAGCATAAAGAAAACATAACATTAATAACTTTTTAATGAATTATGAGCAAAATATTGTAAAATGAAAATACCTACCGTCCTCTTCATTACAGACAAATTCTTTTTGAAGATTCTGAAAATGTTTCTTTTAACAAAATGTATGCAATGAATGTGCAACACAACAAATAAGGTGTATATGAAGAATGTGTTGTCCTCACCAGTTCTGCCCTGTGTGGGAAGTTCAGACTTGAAATTTCAGCGTCCAATTTCTTGGTGTATCGTTCTGAATTTTTCACACAGCTCACCCCAACGTTTTCGACAGTCTTGAGTACTTGGAAAAGCAGATAGTAATTATATATACAAATATATTATTTATTAGCATATTAAAATAATCCTCACTTGAAGGCTCTTTACACCTGAACCATGCAGATGACTCACATTTCAATCTCTCCACTGCGAAGCTTTCAAACTCAGAGAGAGAGATGTTCTCCAGAGGAGGCTGTCCATAAAACTGAAGACATTGATCATACAGATCATTCTGAAAGTTGCCGATCAGCTTCTTTCTTCTGCCTAAAAACTGCATTGCAAATCTAGACACCGAGTTTGAACAACGAGTTTACTAAAACTGGATAATGTGATGTCTTTTGATCCATATAAAACCATCGACAAACCAGCAGCGATTATAATGAGTCTAAATAGCTGACGATCAATAAATACACACAGACAACACAGTACCGCTCTCATGAGCGCTGATAAACAGTAACTATAATTAGTCAACTTGAATGATGCTAGGTTAACTAGCTAACATAGTTCATAGTTTAAGTAGAATCATTTGATTTCTGACACCAATCCTCGAACGCATTTATCATTAAATAAATATATTACAATAATATTAGGTGTATTAACTATATATTTATTACGTGTTACTGTCATCTAATAGTAAAACTCACATCTCACAACAATCGTTGCCTGTCTTTTCCCGGAGCCTAAATCCCGCCAACGAGCTGACGTTCCAAACAAAGCGCGGGTTTATGACGCCACTCTGAAATTCACCAATCGTGTTGCACGAAGGCTGTTTCCGGGGGCTTGTTCTGTGCTCTGCTCTCTGTTGGTGAATAAAAGTCTGAACACTTCATTTCAAAGAACCGGTTCAAACAACCAGTTCAACTGTTCTTGTAGGCTACATCGAGAAGTATTACTTTTTCATGTGGTTCCTGACGGTCCAAAAAGCTCTATTTAAGCACATATTGTTGCGTTGTATGTTTTTTTAAAACTTAGGCTGAAAAATGTGTGTGTGTGTGTGTGTGTGTGTGTATGTGTGTACTGGTTTATTAAAACAAAAGGCTTAAAACACATACAAAACAGTATTTTATGAAATAAAAAAATTGGAAGTAGTTTTCTGTGAGGGGTAGGTTTAGGTGTAGGGTTGGTGTAGAAAGGCTTAAAACACATACAAAACGGTGTTTTATGAAATAAAAAAATTGGCAGTAGTTTTCTGTAAGGGGTAGGTTTAGGGGTAGGGTGTAGGGCAATAGAATATACGGTCTGTACAGTAGAAAAACCTATTTGCCTATGGAGAGTCCTCACAAGGATAGCTGACCAGACATGTGTGTGTGTGTGTGTGTGTGTGTGTGTGTTGATAAAACTGTCGTACAATAAAGTCATAAACACATTAGGTAAAGCACGTTTTATTTGTAACATTTCTGTTTTTCGCCTATTAAAGTACCTTTTCGCCAAATCAGTCTCGGTTCAATCCAAATGCCACTGTCCACTCACTTACGATTCGATTGAACAAATCCAATTTCACCAATTTAATTTCATTTTGTTGTTGTTTCTAGTATGAACACACTTATTATGATGTACTAAAATGGTATATAACTTATATAAATACCTTTAATAATTATTTTTTTTACTGTTTTTTTAAGTAACTCATAGGAATAATTAGGCACTACATATAAAATAATTTATTTGAAATGCATTTATCTTAATTTCCGAATAGAAAACAAGATGAACTTGAGTAAAAAGTTTCTTCCAAGAAAATTTGTCCTGAATAATGTTTCCATTTTAACCCCACAATAATATTCTAAGTAACGTTATAGACCTTCTATTTCATTCATTTTTTTGTGGTCACTAAGCTCTTTCTAGCTCTTTTCATCTTAATGTTTATGATATGCATCACTACAATAGGGCTATTTGAGTTCATTCCATAAATGTCTAATGGAGTGAGCATCACTTTGCTCTGAAAATATGTGGCTTGTTTCTTCACAACTGCACGTGCCATTCTACACAAGAATATACTGGCAACAGACTGTTCATTCTGCATTACAGAGATCTGTGTACTTCCTTATGAAACCCACACACCACTCTGTAAACATGTGACTGAGCCAGACCAGCTGACTGTATCAATCTTTAAGGGCTGTTGTGAGAGAACTCATTGTGCTTTCACCTCTCAGGCAGAACAGCTCAGCTCAACACCTTCTTCCTGCAGGCCCTGCTCCATCTAAACCACTTTTTGATCCCTCTGCAGTTTTACATCCAGAAATTATCAGTATACACATTTTTTATGTTATTGAAGATCCAAAAACAAAAGGATCAATATTTTCATAAATGATAGCCTACTAAAAATACCATCTGCCCCAATAGTTTGATAGCATGCAGAAACAGCTCAGCAGCTCTTTGCTTATACTGCCCTCCATTGGCTATGTAGTAGCAGTAGTGTTTATTTTCTATTAACAAATGTTATTTTAAACATCATGCTATTGCAGATAGGAAGTAAATAGAAATGCTGGCATTGTTTGAATATATGTGTTAATGTAGCTGTCATCAAAGTTAACAGGATGTTCAGAGCTTTCGTTATGGTGAGAAAATTAAACACATTAGATTCAATATATTAGACACTATTCAGCAGTTAAGACTTGGGAAGATTTTGAAATGTTTTCAGCTTAATATTCAGCAGTCATTACTCTATCTTTAGTGTCACATGATCCTTTAGACGTCATTCTAATATGCCGATTTGCTGCTCAGGAAACATTTCTTATTATTATCAGTGTTGAGAACAGTTGTGGTGCTTAATGTTTTCGTGGAAACCATGATCCTTAGAATAAATAATGAATAAATAGTTCAGAAGAACAGCTTTTTGGAAACGGAAGTCTTATAACATGTTACATGTTTTTTCGATCAACTTAATGCATCCTTTCTGAATAAAAGTCTTAGATTTTTCAGTCCATTCTTACTTTTCACTGGTAGTGAAAGTTTAACTTAAACACAGAAGTAGATGATTTTTCCAAATAAGACTAAACAGCAGAGGTGTAAATGCTTAGTAATTGTACTTCATTATACTTAAGTATCATTTAGAAGAATTAAGTACTTGAGTTCTAGTGAAACTGAATACTCTTACTCAGTTACATTTCCATTTCACAGTTGAAATGATTTTTTTGGGAGTCATCATGACTAGAATCTTTCCTCTGTTACCAAGCTAACAATCGGATCAAATTACACTCCAGGCTGAACTTCTGCAGCCAATGACATCAATGCAGTTGTAAACTGTATCTGGACACAAGAAGTCATTCATCATTAATCACAACACAATCTGACCTAAAGCAATATGTTTTAATTACAGACTCTGTTGAAGGTGGACAAACTCGACTCGGTCGACAATCAGTCTATGTCTCAAATCTTACCTATAAAACCTGCTTTTTCTGAAATTAAAATACAATTTCTGGCAACAGGTTTCAGTTTAATATCTGGTCTAGAGCACTATAGTCCAGACTTGTATTCAAGTATGCTTTGGCTAGATCATTTTGATACAATATGCATTCTTTCACTATAGTTTGTCAGTATTTTTACACCTCTGTCTGTCAGTCAGCGAGAAAGGGCAAAGAACAAGGAAGTTCAAGCACAAAAAAATCTCTAAATGTCAAGTACATCTAGCTAAAGCTATTTTACTTTCTGTACATTCATTATTAATGGAGGAAATATTTAAAAAAGAAGGGATGTTATGCAAAGATGCAATTATACCGTACAGTATAAATGACAAAAATGATTTGAAAATGGCTTCTACTCTATTTGTTCCTACATAAATTATTCCTCATGTGATGGTTGATAAATTAATACAAATAAGGAGATGTGCTTACAGTCTCAAAAAGGTGCATATTAGTACATTTTAATACCAAATTGGTAAAAATGCGTACCTTTTGAAAGGGTAGCCACCCCAGTGACAGCTTTTGTACCTTTGTAAAAGTGCATGTTTACTATTTCTTATCTTTATTTTATTTTATTTTATTTTTAGCCAGCAAATGGTAAATAACAGTTAAAAGTTATTTGAGCCATGTAATTATCTTGGCTCAATGAACTTTGAGAACTTGCATTTTTCAATTCATGTATTGGGACAGTCCCAGAACACATGACACTGAACACATCCTGTGACAAAAGCAAACAGCAGTCAGAAAGAAAGGGGTGAATATCTTGAGCTCTTTCTATTGTTCATCTCCTGAAGAAATAAATCAAACAAACAGTGTTTCTGCGGGTTTTTCTTGGCTGAGTCATCATTTCTGCAGCACTTTCTCTGAGCGCAGTGACTCACAGGCAGTGCACAAATTATTTTGCCAGCTTTCTTTTGAGATTCTTTGACTAAAGGTGAGGGGACATAGCCATTGTTCTTCCTGGGAAATTATGTCAAGGGAAGCCTGGCAAGGGAAAACTGCTCACCGCGAGTACACAGACCTCACAAGAGAGGGGGTAAGGAGGAAAATGGTGAGAACAACAGTGTGGGGCAGAGTCGTCTGAACAGCTATAGGGAATGATAATGAAACCACGGCAACTGGGTCAAAGGTCTTTTGATAGACCAACAAAAGTAGTCTTGACCCTTCCCTTCTGGAGGCCTTTAGACTCCCAGTCAATGAGCACATGGTGCTGGACACACAAAAGAGCTGAAACACACCTGAGATTTGAAGGCAAATGTTAGTCTTACTTTATCAGTTACTAGCTAAATGCAAATTACTTCAACAGTTAATAAACTTTCAGCATTTCTTGACCCTTGTGAAAAAGAAGTGTGATTAATTGTATTGAATTTCAAATCCTAAAAGTTAGTTTTTTTGGAAAATGTTTTTGAAAAAAACTAAATAAAATTAAAGGCCACATAATTATACTTAAAAAGAGTACACTTTCTTGACATTGTAACACATAAACGTACATTTTTAAAAAGTGTGGTTTGCAATAGTCAAATTAAAAGTTATACATTTTAAAGTACATTTAATAACACTTTTCAAGAAGTTACATTTGTTAAGATTAGTAAAAACTCATAAAACTAACAATGAACAATACTTCTAGAGCATTTATTAATCTTCATTAATGTTGAGTCCAACATGACAACAAATAAATGTTGATTCCAACATTTACTAAAACATTATTAAAAACAAAAGTTGTATATTTGATGTTATTTAATGGACCTGATCTAATATGGACTAACAATGAGTTGTATTTTTAATAACTAACATTATCAAAGATACTGTAACAAATGTATTGCTCATTGTTAGTTATTATTATTTAATACATTAAATATAGTTAACAAACTGAACATTATTGTAATGTGTTACCGTACATTTTATAATAATTGTTTTAATAATCTTTTGTCATGCTTTAAAGGGTCATGAAACCCTAAAACACATTTTTTGAAATGTTAACATGCATCAGTGAAAACAACAATTGCACTAATTTTGTTTGTTTGTTTTCTTCTTTTTTTTGGAGCCATTACATTCTTCTGGTTCAAAAAGCAATGCTCAAAATTTTTTTTGAATTGTTCAAAAAATAAATACATAAATATGTTCTAACATTAAAGCACATGTAAAGTACTTTATTGTCATTTTAATTTTAGTCATTTAAATATTACATTTACATTTTTAAAAATGTAAATTTATTAAATTGGAATAGAATAGAATAGAACTGACATTATATCTTAGTCTACCATAAATGGTTGTTAGTATACTTCAGCAGTACACTTTAACCATATTTCAAAGACAATAGACAACAGAATAAAGATGTATTTAAGTCCCAAAAAACATAAGCTTAGTTTAGCTATCTGTGTTCAATATAAACTTAAAACTATAATCCATTTTATTGAATTTAAATTAAAATGCAATTGTCAGGAAATATGATAAATGTACTTTTTAAAAGATCATGGCAGTAGTCTAAAATCATTAAATCATTAAAATATTGCATACCTCTTTCCCTAATAGAGGTAAAGAGGTCCACCTCTGCCTTGCCGTAAACTGACCAGATCATCTGATCCGATTGGGGATGTAGTCTCCATTCTCCTGGAGCTACATTGTAGCTCGGATTGCCCTCGTACACCGCGCCCCAGCCCGAGCTGGAGGCATCCGTTGTGACCACCATCCTTCAGGAGGTTGTTCCCAACCGCACGCCTGTTAAAAACAGATTGAGGAGTCGTCCAAGGAGCCATAGCTTTGACGCAGCGATGGGTTACCCTGACGCGATGTCGGCCAAGACACCAGGCATGGGATGGTACACAAGTCTTTAGCCAATACGGGAGGGGCTGCATGTAAAGCAGGCCCAGGGGAATAACTGAGGAGGCGGCTGCCATGAGACCGAGCATCCTCTGAAACATCCTGAGCGGACATGTAGTCCCCAACTTGAATGATGCCGCCACTCGCTGAATATTCAGGAAGCGTTCCGGCGAAATCCAGGCTCGCATTTGAACCGAGTCTATAACTGATCCCAGAAAGGAGACCTGCCATCTGGGAATGCGCTTCTGGGGCCGCCCCCAGGCCAAGTTCCCCCACCGCCTTCGTGAGGACACGGATCAGCTCTGAGTCTACGCTGGGGCGTGCAGACTGAGAAAGAGTGAGGCCTTCAGGCTCCTCGCCGGAACCCACCCACTCTTCAGTGTCAGATGCTGTTAAGGACATAGAGTCATCAACGATCACCTCCTCCTCTGAAGCACAGAAAGACACCAGGCCACTCACAACCGACGAGGGGTGTTTATCCTCTGGTAACACACTGGCAAACTGAGGCGCTGCGGTCAGAGTTAGGTACGCGGGCGCTGGGCCAACGTAATCTCACTCAAGCCTGAGGGATGAGGCCCACTGCTCCGCTGTTTCTTTCTCTTGGGCGAGAATGGAAACAGGAGAGCAGAATGGGAAGGACCGCCTCCGTGGAAGAAGGCAATATGCGAACAAAGGAGGGAGAGACTCATGTTCCCACAATGAGAACCTGAAGTCTCAGTGAGCGCAGCCTCTGCGTGGCCGCTACCTAGATAGGCAATGCACTCACTGTGCCCATCAGCATCTTGCAGGTCCTTGCAGGCGCTGCATTTGCGGAGCGACATTTGCAACAACGCCGCTGGAAATTTGCTCTGGAAATGCTCTTAGATAGCCGGATGGCCGCAGGGGAATCATCTTCTTCCGCTACTAGTGGCTCCTTCCACAGCGGAGAGCAGGTGAGTAGCAGCTTCTTCTTTCTGCTTCTTCGGCTTCTTCGTAGTTGGGTCAATGAAGAGAAGGTCTCGTCGCTGAAGGAGAAGATTCTGATGAATGGCTTGTGCACAAACGTTAACAAATCAGGCTTCAGTAACAGGGTAAACAGGAGTGTAACCCATAAAGCAACGTGAAGTGAACGTTCGATAGGGAACACCGGATCACAAGCTGATCGCATGAAAAATGTGTGCACTTCACTTTAAAACATGCAGCAAAAACGGGCTTGATGAAGGGATTAAGCCATATTGTGCTTTCAGTTTTAGTTCGTTTGACAGATACTGTGCCAAAGCATAATGACCCAAAACAAATATATTTTAAAAACTACACCTATCGCTTCATATTGTCATATTTCATATTTTCTATCGCGATATTGATAATATTGTTACATCCCTAAAAGTTTCATTAATTAATTTGTGTTAAACCTACACAAATTATTTGGCTGACATAATTAACTGGGTAGTGTAGTTCCCATCATACTTTGCAAGGGGCTGCAATAGAAGAATAAATTTAGGCAGCGTTTTTCAGTTAAGGGAAAGACATGTAAGTGTTTAATGTTCAGTTATGTTGACATTTAGTCATTTAGAGTTTCTGTAATTTTTTTCAATTTTGTGGTTACCATTATGCAGAAAAGTGTGGCCTGTGCATAGGCTGGGCACTCAATGAATAACTGCCATTCTAGTGTCAGTGCTGATACTAGTATTTTTGTTTGTTCATTATATGTATTGTTCCTAATGATATACACAACTGCTTGATCAAGCAATAGAAAATTAATGAAACTTCAGTGAATCAATAAAAAAAATGGTCCCACAAATAATTTTTACAAAATAACATAAAGCTGACCTAAACATATTAAATTATGTGGACCCAACTTTTTTTTTTCTTTTTTTTTTTTGAATGAATGAACTACATTAAAACCTTCTTCAATTAAATTAAGGAAGAGCAATGAATTTATTTTTGAGTTGGAAAAAAAAAAAGTGACGTGGGTCTAATTTAGGGAAGAACGATATGGTTAAATAGGTCTCGGAGTTAAACCACCACAGTGTCATTTATCTGTTAACATGTATGCCTTGACTGGACATAAATACCTGGAACTTGCTTTTGCGATGTCACTTCTCTATTGGGCAGACTGTAAGTAATAGCTTGTCTCTTGCACTGAAATTTGATGATGGCACTATGTTAATATTTTAAATTTTATCTTCTAAATTATAAACTTTTATACAAACAGTTATATAGTTTCAATTCAAGCCTTTAACTTGATCATTGGCATCCTGCATAAACAATGAACATCAACATTCACAGTATTTCCATCTAAAGTTTCATTTGTACTGTTTTTAAGGCAGCCCCTCTCCGCAGGATGATTTGGCTCCCCTTGAATTGCAGTTCCATTCTTTGGACTTCAGAAATGTCTTGCACTGGAAACATCCACACAAAGCTGTCAAGAACCTGACATATTCTGTTCAGCATAAAATGTAAGCGTGCACAAAGTTCTTGTCAAAGAACGTAAATTAGGTTCGGAAAATAACTTGCCAATATCTGCTGCACCACCCAAATTGAATCCTCACATTTCTGTAGCTATGAAAAAATTCATATTGGTGACCTCTCTTTCAGATACGGAGACAAGGAGTGGACTAACTCTGAACACTGTCAGGGCATCCGGTTGCTGGAGTGTGACCTGAGCCAGGCAACGTCAGATCCCAGAGAATGGTACTATGCCAGGGTCCGTTCCTTGTCCTCTGAGGGCTTCTCATCATGGGTCCTTAGCCACAGGTTTTACCCTCAGTGGGAAAGTGAGTATACTGCATCATTTTAATTATGATTTTCCATGAGAAAAGCTTATAATTCAACACATTTGTCTACATTTGAAATGATCTTCCATCCGTATATGGTTGATTTTGATATGGAGGTGCCAATCGAAGAGGAAAAAAGATTACACAATGTGATTGTGATGGCATAACAGCACTATGTTATATTTAGTTGTTTTTTCCTGTGGAACTTATCATCAAACAACTTCCTCTGAATTACAGCCAATTTCAGCCCACCGCAGATAAAAGTGACCGTGACAGGACGGATCATTTCAGTGCAAATCAGACCTCCGAGGACACCACTGCAAGGACAGAGGGGCTCTAGGATACGAGTGACAAAACTGCAGAAACTGACATTTAGAATATACCTATTACACAATGATGTAGAAGAGGTAAGAAAACCCTTGCATATAAATGTACAAATTCAAGGTGGATATATAGTATATGAAGCCTATGTGAAATTATAGATTTAAACAATATCACATGGTCAAGACTCATGGAACAACACCACTCTTGACTCAAGAGTGATGTTGTTCAGATTATATGCACAGTTTTAGTTCAATAAACAAGAAGTTCATATTAAAGAACACATTTTAAACACAGTATTTCCAGTTTAATCACCTGTTTTCATTGGTATAATGTGTTCTGTCATGTGTCAGCACTTAGTAAATGAACGAATCGGAAAATGATTAATTTACCCACACTCATAAAGACAGTTACTTGTCACCAACTTCTGGTGGAAAGAGATAACCTGCAGAAATAGTCTGTTTAAAATCGTTACCTCTAATATTCAGTCAGTTTGTCTGGAAGGTGCAAACACGGAAAGCAGAGTGATAAAACAAGTGAAAAGTTCAGCATTGTTGTATCAGTGCTCTTGGAACGCTCCTCGGCCAATCAGATTCGAGGACCGAAACTAATTGTTGAATGTTAAAGTTAAAGGGTTAGTTCCCCCAAAAATGAATTTACTCACGTTCATGTCGTTCCAAAACAGCAGGACTTTCTTTCTTCTGTGGAACATATTTTAAGAAATATATTTTTCCATACATTGGAAGTCAATGATTACCAAAACCTTTTAGTTACCAAGGTTCTTCAGAATATCTTATTTTGTGTTCCACTGAAAAATTGCAATACAGCTATTTGTTCATGATTCTGAGAGAGCAAATGACGGGATTAGTTAATTAGCTTGCTTATTGACTGATATCATTAATTAACTTTATTTATTGCAATTTGTTAGATTGTAGAAAATAATCTGTATAGGAACACTGGCATGCACAGAGCAAATTGCACTTCATTTGGCGGTTTTTCCAAAATGTTTTGAAATTTTAATAACTGTCTGGCAGCCCACACCCTAAATTTACTGTAATTATTATAAATTATTCCAAATTCCTCAAATTCATTATGCTAAACCTTCACCAATCCCATCTTTCCCAAACAGGAAGTTTATGAAACAGACAGTTGCTCCAAGGAGCTTGTGTTCGAGGGGTTACGTCCGAAAACCACCTACTGCCTTCAGGCTGTGTCCGTTACCCCTCGCTCAGGCCACAAAAGCTTACGGAGTCCCAGCACCTGCATCAGCACTCATTGAAGGCTTAGTGTCTCCCACAGGTAAGCCTTACGTAACACGTGATATGGTTTCTTTAGAAAGGGAAACACCTGAGATAAATGGTGTCCATGACCAGTTTCCGCCTTTGTGCTTTCTCCAAGTTGCCTCCCAGGTACGACAGTGAGCACAGACACGCTACTTGTTATTCGAGACAGAGATTGCACTCTTGAGACACCCTCAGATCAAGTTCCAACCACCTTAGGATAAATTAGAGTGATTGTCTACTTTGCTAAGAGTTTCAGTTCTGAGAATTTTGAGCACATACAAGATGCACGTGTATTTTTAGAGTATTGGTATTCTTTCTGGTTTCGATTATAACATTTCTGTTTTATCTGCCTGCAGGGTGAGGCTGCTTCTGGACCTTTGTTCAACATGAAAATTACACACATATACACTACATAGTGGAATGTCTGCAATTTTTCAACCAAGGTCATGTTTACTATAAGCCTGGCTTTGCCTTTAGGTTACGTTAAAGCTGAAGTGTGTAATTTCTGCACCACTAGCACTATCAGCAAAACAATGACTGTTTACACACAGGTTTCCTGAACACTCATCTTGCATTGGGTGGACAAAGAAATAGTGCCGCCCTCAAATCACACCACTGGTTTGAGCCAACAGCAGTGGAAAGTATTTACACTCGTTTTTTTTCTCAGGGAAATCAACAAATGGCTTACTTGAAGATATTTAGTATTAAGTTCGCTTTTTTTATTATTATTAAAATATATACACACTTCAGCTTTAAGGCTAATGACTGCTAAAATAAAAACATGAACTACTTGTTACGTTTAGGGCTGAGAACTGAACACCAGACAGTAGTAGTTGAATGTTGTGTTAAACAGTGTTGGAACTCAATATATATACACAACAAATGACTGAAAGTAAAACTAAATAAATTATGAAAGAACAACAATGCGTAAATGTTGTATAAAGTATTTATTGGTCACTTGTGTACAGTAAAATAGTAGAATTTGATATAAATGAGATGATTCTGGGCTCAGCCCTTTTTTCTTTGAGCCCTCCTGGAGCAAATAACCAGTCCACATCTGAACAGAACAGCTTTTAACATTAAATTGGTCACATGGGTAAAACATTGGATAAAAACAGAGCTCAATACAACATACACTAAAGAGCAAAACCAGTAAAACTATTAGCAGTGCATGTGTACCATGTAACAATCTTCCCAAACCGTTTCACAATCCAAGACTTCAACTTTGGTGAAAACAAATCTTCTGTTTTCTGTCATTCACACATCTGTGTCATTCACGTTTAGAAATCGGTCTAATTAAAAATTTGATCTCTGCAGTTCTCCCATAATAGGAGAAATGATTGTGCTTAGACAATAACACCAGATGAATTCCTTAAAAACAGGCATCATATTATTACTTCATCTAGTAATGATCATTGCAAGACATAAAAAGGAGGCACCACAATGTCTCTCCAAGTCCTTTGTTCTTATGAATCCTAATGTGCAGTTGTCTATCTAAACTAACAGTAATCTTTATGCCTTAATACAATAACAGTGTAAATGTAATGAACAATCATCATGACTCGAAAATTCCAGTGCTACAAAACATATTTTGTTCTTCTTTCTTCAAAACATCACCACATAATAGGTGTTTTTGAACAGAAGTCAGTGGGAAAACCTCTGATTATTTCTGAACAAACAGTACATTTATGCTGACTGAAATAATTACAGTAAATAATTCTAATCCCTACTATAACAGCTTTTTCAATACTGAGTTGTTTCTCAAACACATCTTCTCCAATTAGAAGATGAGAGTACTAAGAGTACAGTGCTCTTCCATTTGACACCCTATAACCACAAAATAACGTCTCAATTAAGTACGTTTCAAATCACAGTCTCCAGATACAAAATATTTTAAGTGACACAAAGAGAAAATGGAAAAGCAAGTTACTGAACTACTTAAGTCCACAATGAACAAGTTAATAATTCAGTCTTTTACACAGGGTAATGATTAAGAAAACAGTTTGAATATATAGAATGACAGTAAAAAAAAAAAAAAAAAAGCATTTGGGTTTTGCAGAAACAGATTAAATCACTTACACAGTTCAAGCACCAAATCCTGATTTAACATTATATAATTCTAAACATTCTGCTTTCAATTTTTAGTGAGTGAACCTACTGAAGCGTAAAACTCAAAACCAAGCTACTCAGATGGTAACAGTTTTAAGTAGCATCCTGGTGCTTGATGAATCTATTAGTTAAATTCATTTTTTTAGGTTTTGTATAGACTGGAATGATTTGTAAATAATAGACATATTGAGAGACACTAACAATATGGTTAATTCATTCATCACTATTTGGCAGCATAATGCAATATCTATACATATTTTTGCTTCCCATTTGGGTTATGCAACCTAAAAAGCTACAGGCATGTGTACACCTCTAAAAGACATAATTAGATCAAATGCATCGGACTTAAAGCTAAAAAAAAAAAAAAAGGAGAGTCCATGAGGTTCCTCTCCAATATAACTTTAGAGAGGAAAAAATAAAAAACAAAACCAAAAAAAAAGGTAGGAAACATTTTCAAATAGGTCACAAAAGACAAAACCCTGAAAATGTAATGTATTAGTACAGGAAAAATAAAGAGCTATGTAGGGAACTGCGCTGTTTGGGCTGGCAAACGTGAGGTCTGTTAGTTTGGTCAATCACATTAGCTATGCCACTTCATCTGTACAACTATTATTATTTATATTAACACTGTGCGGGATTAAAAGAAAAAAAAAAAAAAAGGAGAGTCCATGAGGTTCCTCTCCAATATAACTTTAGAGAGGAAAAAATAAAAAACAAAACCAAAAAAAAAGGTAGGAAACATTTTCAAATAGGTCACAAAAGACAAAACCCTGAAAATGTAATGTATTAGTACAGGAAAAATAAAGAGCTATGTAGGGAACTGCGCTGTTTGGGCTGGCAAACGTGAGGTCTGTTAGTTTGGTCAATCACATTAGCTATGCCACTTCATCTGTACAACTATTATTATTTATATTAACACTGTGGGCCCTGTTTATGCCTTTCATATGACATTACGTGATACGAAATCAAATGACAAAAATGCCTGAACACTTTAAAAATCTGTAGTTTCTAACAGAATCTGAGATCTTGTTCATCAGTGTAAAACGTTTACAAATCAAATCACTACAAACCAGCAATTCTACTGTAAATTCAGTGGAATGTTGATCATTCACTTCATATATGTCACTTCATATTAAATTACATATCAAAGTAAACCGCATATAAATAAAAGTACCACAGAATATCTCCAGCAGCAATGGCTCAAATATTGATCAAAGGCCATGATGTTAATCTTGGGGGAAAATAAAAACAACTAAATGTCATGTTGAACAGACAGCTTCAAGACAAAAATAAGACCGTGTTCCAGATGCAGCTTATTTCAGGATAAAAACTCTTTCTCCAGTTCAAAGACAGACGGTCGACTTGGTGTGCTCTGTATTCGACAGAGGGGAACCGTGCAGTCTCGTTTTTGACCCTCTGTGTCCATATCCAGCAAAGAGCAGCCCATTTTGACCTCTGAGGGGAGGACTATGTCCAAGTTTTGGGCACTCTGCTCCCCAGAGTAGTGCCCAAGAGAATAGCTCTTATTGCGGCTCTTCAGAAGACCCCAGGAGTGGGGTTTGCTTCTTAGGGAAAGCGGCCGGTGTCTAGATGCTGATTCTCTGGAGGCTTGCTTCTCTTGAGCAGGCCCTCTGTCAGCCTTCTTTTTCAGGGAAGTGGTAGAGAAATCAGCTGGACTGGCCTGAGAGTTACTGCTGCCATTAACTTAAGCAAATAAAGTAACATCATTAACAAACAAGATTTGAAAACAAAATGTCACTGTCATGGGTTAATACAGTAATGAGCAGAGTAAAACCTCTAAACTTTTTTGTAATCCCATAAACCAACAACCTAAATTAAATGCACTAAAGATACAAAACATATTGCTAATCAGCTGATATTTTATGTTTTTTTAAAGTTATCTTTGCCTTATATTTGGTTTAATTTCACATACTCATTTCAAACTACTTTTTATAGATAAAATATATAATCCATCATTTTAAATGCTACAAGTGAACAACATTATAATGTAAAATATGAAAATGTGACAACATGACAGTGACACCCACAATTTATAACTAATTAGAACACATCTGAATCATCAGATTTACTGAATCATTAAAAAGGTAACATACATTGCACACTTATATCACACAAAAATAAAAATAATATTTTTGTCTTTGCTTAAAAAAAA